AGAGACAGTACAATGTGCCACCATTGTATTGAAGAATGACATTTAGCCAATCAAATGCTAGAATTAATTTCAGATTGAATTGCAATATATTTAATGATATTTACGTCTACACTAAAAATTTGATTTGTTTGCCCTTGCATATCGATAGATGACGTAATCGTCGAAATTAGGACTTGGTATGGCGGCGCCCGTTATTTATATGTCACTTTTTAAATGCATCGCATATGTTAACAGATAAAAATTATAAGGTGAATCGATGTATAGAAAATACTATCTTTAAATGAAGTATTTTAGGCACAATTTATTTTTGTAGATAATTGTTCATTTGATATATAAAATTTACACATCTTGGTAGACTGTCGAATTATGGGCACACAAGGATATATTTTTTACTACTATGCCATGTACAAACAAAGTTCGACAGTTTGATATGACACTAGCTAGTAATAAGTCTACGATATCCTATTAAAAACGTATCTACTACCTAAAGTATACGTTACAAAAGATGAAAAAGAAAAAGTCAGATTCAGTAAAACCAGTCATTGAGTCAATTTGGTATACATGTACGTAGAATTTAAAGACAATAATTTGGGGGGGGGGACTTTGGCTTTTAGTCTGTTTCATGATTTTTAATATAATTTCCTTATCTTATAACTATCTTTTTATCACTTTCGTGAAGGGAAGAAAAATCTCTAGTTTTGATATCTGTCACCAATATCAATTTCTTATTTATTTTTCATCTTGAAAAATGTCACTTTCATTTATTCAGTGGATAAATTTCAATATTGCACTGTTGAACATATACTGAAGATGTTTATATTTCACACTTCATAAAACTCTGCTATTCAGTTACATGTAACTGAAAAGTGACTGAAAAGAGCTCTGCCATTCAGCTACCTTTCCAGACCTTTCAGTGACGATTCAGTTGACGGAAAGGTGCAGTTTCATCCTGTTTCAGGGACATTTGTGTTTCATAAAGACTCTAGACCATATATGTAGCCGATGTCGAATTCAATAAATTTCATCGAGCTTCAGTTGTTTTAATTGGACTTACTTGTATACCTCTTATGGATCACACATATAAGAGTGCATGTGTTAGAAATTCAATACAGGAACGACTCGTCACCCGTATGTTTATAAGCATAGATAATCTGTAATGATATGTTAACTGTGAACAAGAATACATTCTTACAACTTAATTGATTTATTCCACATATAAGAGTAATTTCCCTTTCAACTTGTCGTTAATATTGGTTACTTGGACACATTTATTTACTAACTTGAGATTAAATAAGCCTAATTCTACTCTTGATTGCCTGGATCTTAAAGAGCAGCCTACAGACATCGATAAAGGTTTGAACTTAAACTTATTATTTGTAAAACATATATATTGACAGAAAGAAACTTTTTTACTATTCTTTCATGCACTTATATATACCCTTTGTGCTCGATGGATAAGACAATAGCCCTAAAATTTCATCCAAGCACTTTCATTTCTTCTCCTGAATATCTTGCAACAAACTGTTTACATAATCTCAATGAGCTGTTAGCTCTCGATCAACTTTATTTTTCTTATCCCTGGATTCAAGGTTGAGGCACCTAGGTTTTCCAGATTTTAAAAGCAATATCATCTTACCTTCTTCGTCGCAGGATGATATAAGCTGGTTTCGTACATGTACCAGAATTTTAAAATCAATATCCTTATGCGGGCCAGAGTTCAACTTGCAGAATCTCGAAGGACATATAAGATCATATTTTGAAAATGCATAATATCTCTTCTATATATAAGACTTCTTTTTCTCTCCTGAACTGAACTCTTTTATTACTAAACTGTTTACAACTCTTCATGTCATCTTAATTTATTGACGGGTTATATACTTTTTATCATTTTAGAGAATTAAATATTTTGACAATAAGTTCTTGATAATTATAAATAATTAAAAAAATGTTCATATTCAAAGTGAATTTTAAAAAAAAAAATTAGGAATGAATTGATCTAAGGATACATGGATGGAATTGCAAGTAAAATGAAAATGCAAAAATAAAAAAAAAAGTATGTAGCTTTCTGTTATGAAAAAATATTGACTTATCACAAATAGCTCAGATAAGGCATGTCTTTTTACAAACTATGTTTTTGATATAAAATCTAAGACTCATGTTCAAGGTACAGTAAAAAGGACGCTCTGTTACCACAAAAATTGCTTATATCCTGTTTTCAGGGACGAGCTATAAGTAAGGAGTGCGCTATATATACATGTATATTTGATAAACAATTTATATTAAGGTTTTACTAGGAAGTGCATGATTGGTCTATATTAAGAGGAAGTACATTAACTTTAATAAATTTGGGAGCACCCTGTGTAAGATAACATTTCTTCTTTTGAAAACCTTTAAAGTATTATGCACCATATATCACGTACTTATACATAGTCTATTTCTTATATATAAGCTCACAAAAGGACACTGATTCAGTGTTCAGAGGTATATGATGGACGTAAGCAAATGGGAAAGGGTGCGTTTTCTTGCCAACATTCACCTTGAAACATGAACATGCCTCATTTTTAGAATTTCCATCTTAAAGGCCTGTGAGAAAGTAGATTGATTCCTTGATTGATTGTATGTTGTTTTACGTCCCATTCGAGAATTTTTCACTCATATATAGACGTCACGATATACCGGTGAAGCGTTTCAATTTTGACCTTAACTCGGCACTCAGTGCCATTGAGCAGTGAGGAATTTTTATCATGCCAACGCCTGCCGTGACACGGGGCCTCGGTTTTTAAGGTCTCATCCGAAGGACCTGCAACTTTCACTTCAAAGTACCGAGCGCATGGCGAAGGAACAGTTGCTACCCAATTTTTATCGACTTAGGTCAGTCGCGGCCGAGATTCGAACTCAGGACCTCCCGATCACAAAGCGAGCGCTCTACCGATTGAGCTACCGTGAACGGTGAGATATGGAGATAACGAACTGTATTCAAGCTCATAGTCCATTCAAACAATACAAATCGGGAGCAGAGCAATTAAACACAGACATCCAAACACATCAGAGCTCGCTCAGGTGTCATGAAAGAGTAAGCATCCCCTATCGACCGGTAACACCCGCCGTGTGTTCCTTGTCATGATCGGGTTAACGGGAAAAAAAATCATAGAAATTTCAGTGTGTAAATAATGGCCTAACAATTACTATGAAAAACTTCAGTCAGCATATCGAATCAACTGGGAGATATATATAGGTGATAAGGGTATATTGCTACACAAGTTGAAGTCATCACGTTTATGATAAAGTTTTATTGCTAGGTAACCATTACCGTTTTTCCTAGTAAAATACCCAGATATGAAACAGATGTGTCAGACTCACAGGCGCTTGGGTTAAGGATAATGTATATTTTCTATAATAATATTATGTCGAGGAAATTCGAACGATATTCGTTTTTTTTTTCAGTGCACATTGTTAATCTTTAGTTTTCTGTAAATCTTTCTGCTTGATGTACACCAGACTGCCACAGAAATTCGATATTATACACGTTTTAAAAATGACATATCCCAATATATTATTAAAAATATACTTAAAAAAAAAAAAAAAAAAAAAAAACAAGGCTTGCAACTACATTCCCCCCTTTCCGTGCCCCCGACACGATTTTGTTTCCTTTTAAAAGTTAAATGCACCGCTTATCAGCTGAATTACGAACATTCTTCTCCCCTGATAATTCTTAGATAATAATAAAAATCCTCTGGTAATAACTTTTCATCCATCTTATATTTTTAAATAATTATTTTTTCTCCTATTTCGCTCGTTTAATTCTCTAATCACGCAAGGATCTCTGAAAGACGCAAGGATCAGAGTATTTCCAATTGAAACTGTCTAAAACTTCTTTCCTAATCTCTGACGATATAATTTTTTTAAACTGCATCCTTAATCAAAGGAATTTAAAGTTTTAATTTATGGACCGAAGGTGGGGGGGGGGGGGTAGTCCAACTCTTTTCTCTCGGGAGAAGAAGGTTCGTAATCAGCTGGTAAGCGATGCATATAACTTTTTTAAAAAAGGAAATAATCGTGTCTAGGGCACGGAAAGGGCCGAATGTAGTTGCAAGTCTTGTTTCTTTTTAGTAAACAGCTTGGGATATGTCATTTTTAAAACGTGCATAACATTAAGTTTCTGTGGCAGTATAGTGTATGTCAAGCAGAGAGATTTACAGAAAACAATTAACACCGTGCACTGAAAAAAATGTTACGAATGTCATTCGAATTTCCTCGACAATACATTATATAGAAAATATACATTACCCTTAACCTAAACGCCTATGGTCAGACTCTATCGTGTCTTTTATTTCAAGTTTACGGGATATATCCAATCGACACAAGAATCAAAGTAACTATTGTTGCTAATACATCGTTGATATATCTAAATGTCGAGGTGAAGGCCACAGCAAGCGTTTTCCTCTTCTCATGTAGAAGTTTTCGAATAAATTCTGCTTCATATGAATACGAAAAAAAATTCATCCTAAGGACCTATGACTCTCTGGATCTAATGCCAGTATGAAGTTTCAAATCTGACCCGGGAGCTAGACGAAGTTATAACCTCTCAAAGACTCACGGCGAATTTCCAGACAACAGCGCAAACGAGGCTGCATATGGATTCTCTAAAACATTAATGAACATATCTTTAGGTTCTGAGAAAATTGCATCATACAGAGGAGTATATATTGAGTTTATCTCGTTCATGTTTAAAAGTGTACCTGCCATTTTTTTCTGGAAAAGTGCCCAAAGACAATAAGTTATTACTTAGCAGAAACAGCCACTTGTTTACTTACAAGTCATTGGAAAAATCTATCTATTTCGAATTGGGTTATTCACTACATATTTCTCTTTTTTCCATTTACATCAAAAGGCAGATTAATCTTACTGCATAAAACTACCATGGAATTAAAATTCTTCAGTGAGCAATATTTCCTAAAGCTTCCTTAAATTGCAAAGTGACCATACGATAAACATTTTTATATGACAGAATTTATTTCCGATATGAAATTGGGTTGTAAGCATTTCCTTTAGCCCTAACAGTCAAATTTCTAATTCAGATACCACATACTACATGTAACTTCACGAAATATGTTTAACTATATCATAACATATACAACAAAGAAGACATATTGTTTTCAAATTCAAGATTCGAAAATTTATAAGCTATTTCTAGTTGTCCTAATGAAAATATTTAAAGTGCAGTTATAGTTATTTCATGTGATAGCTTTTTAACTATGTTCCAATTCGAAGAAATTGGGCAGTTTTTAGCTTTAACAAATAAATATAAAGAGAAAAAAGTCATTTAAATACAGCAATTAGCTGTTTTTCATTCAAAACCACCAACAGCAAGATCAAACACGCTCCAAATCCCGTTAACATTCCTAAGATGCTGAAGGCAAACGCAAAATTATAGGTGAAGAGCGTTCCTGCGTATATGTCGTTCGTTTTGGCAGCATAGACTGCTATTGATATCAAAATGGCGACAACTACAAATAAAAAGAAACACATTTAACAATCATTAACAATTGCAATCCATATGTATCAAATCATGATTGTACAATAGTATACGGAAGATGAGAATTTAAAAAATCAGGATTTAATTACTTTTAACCTTAATTAGATGTTAATGATTAAAGGTACATGTATATAGCTGGATTGTCAGCCATTTTTTTTTAATTTATTATAATTGTTGTTTGGTTTTTTTTTTCTTTTGTTTCAATTCTGGCTTAATTTGGCCAACATCATGTATAATCGGTTAAATAAATATGGTATGTCAAATACAAGTGTAGTATTCTTTCAATGTTTATTAAAACAATTAAAAGAGTTAATTTACAAATTAGTATAATGAGTCATGTGTTCGAATATTTGAATGCATTCCCTGTATCAATTAAAGCAGTACTATTTTCATTCGTCAAGATTTCTTTTTTCCCCCAGAGTATTCATTAACAATCTTCAAATCATAAGAGCAATGTGAACACTCCTTCTGTTCATGGCTTTTACCTCCAATGAAACCTGTGCCCAAGGTCACAAGTACAATTGGTTCCTGGTCCTTAAAGAGGTAAATTTTTAATCCTGACATTACTGCTGCAACAACAAGCGATATAAACCCGAAGATGCTCAAGCCTCGGACTGCCTTTAGCCAGCTGTCTATTTGATTAATAATTATATAAATTTAGTTCAGATGTGTTACTCATTACATACAGTGATTTAGATTTCTATGTCTTTGAATTGTATATAAGACTTGAAGTACATCAGATAATTAATTTTAAATTTTGATAATGTATCCATTTCTTTAAAAAAAATTATCAAAATTATGTACGTGTATGTATACCATCAGAAAGATAGAGGGCGCTGTCGAAACAGATGGTCCTGGATGCATCACTGCCACAACTCTTCCATAGGCCAGCAGTTGACTGTCCAATTGATGTATCAACAGAAATCCAGAATGGTGACACCAAACCAATTAATTGAAGGATAAAAGCGCAACTCATTAGCACCAATCCAATGTGCAGAGATATGGAGGCATTCATGATAGTCTTCCTACAAAATGTATGAATTTAATATAGAAAATTTACAGCTCAACTATTTCCTACAATTTCGTATCTACAATATTACATATAAGTAGTTATAAAGTCAAGAAATAAATTATATAAAAAATGATAAACATGATCTATGACACTAACACTAAATGGATTTTCAATTTCCTGACCAACTGCCCCTTCTAAGTTCAACTAAACATTTCCATGACGTTAAAACACCTTTAAAGAGAAATTATTATACAAAAAAATAAAAACAAAAATGTTAATAATAGTTTTAAAAGTTATATTATATATAATTGTAATTGAAACAAGATATTGTTTGTGAAACACTGATGCCCCCATATGGCAGCGAAGGTTAAAGTTTTTCAAATGCAAGTCAAACTCCAACGTCAAGGTCAAGAGATAAAAAATGTTTTGACTCTAAAATGGTCTCTCTCAAGAACAACTGTGAAATGTGAAAACCGTAGCACAACCATTGAAAAGCTATGCTATAAGTCAAACGTCAAGGTCAGGGTCAAAGGGTCATAATTGTTGGTACTCAAGGAAAGATCTTGTCAAAAGAAATAGACCTATGAAATTTGAAAGCCGTAGCACTAACTGTTCAAAAGTTATTGCCAAGGTTAAAGTTTTTTTATTAGACTAAACTCAAAGATAAAAAATATTTAAACCCAAAGAAATGTCTGATCACAAGGAATAAAGATGTGAAGTATGAAAGCCCCAGCACCGACTGTTCGAAAGTTATTGCCAAGGTTAATGTTTGGTAAAATTTTGCAAAACTCTGTCAAACTCCTAGGTCAAAAGGTCAAATATGTTGGTACCCAAAGAAATGTCTTTTCACAAGGAATACACATGTGAAATATTAAAGCCATAGTTTTTACAAATCAGAATTTATGGGCAAAGTTATATTTTTGAGGACAAACAGACAGACAGACGGACGGACGGAAAGGGCAAACGCTACACACCTCGAATCCACAATTGCGAGGGAATTATAACATAGACTAAATTGGAGAGAAGCATGCCCGAGATCCAGATATTTAGCTAATAATGATCCTGCTCCAACTCAAAGCCATTTTTTCTTGCTCTTGAACACACATTTCCCCTGAAAGTTTTGCAAATATATATAGTATATGTATATATAGAAATTTCTTTCGATATCTTTTTTTTTTTTAATTTTATTTCCCAGACCTATACTATAACATTTGAATTCCCTGTACGAATATTTATGGCAGCTGCCAGGGATGGGGCCCTGACTAAGCTCCATCGAAATACAATTATAGCATAAATTAGTCCTACATCATCTCGCAGGATGATGACATGATAATAATATTACTTGTAGATGAAAAATAAATATTGATAATTATAGAGTTGTACACACACACATATTCATACATATATAAATATACATTAATTTTACAACCAGAAGAGAAGAAAAGTACAAGTTTATTTATTATGAATATTAATACATTCCCATTGCTGTCGAAAGGGGAAATCACATACATTCACTCAGTCCTTGGGTTCCCCTTCAGCAGCATTACTAGAGGGACAGAAACCGTCTAGCAGCGGGAATTAATTAATTTTTCTTATAAAAATAAATTAATTTAATACATAGAGATTACATGAACAGATTTTTTTTTTAGTTTTATAGACTTATATCTATATACTATAACAAATTACAGTAATTTTATAAACTTTCCAATAATATCTACATTTAGAGCATAATTACAAAACTTAATTACTTTACACCAAAATAATGTAGATATTTTTATATGATGTACAACATTATATTCTGTTTCGTCAAGATTTTCTATTCTACAAAACATTTTGTATTTATATATTTTTAATGCAATAAAGGAAATAAAATTGTTCAGAAAGTATGTTTTCTGGTTACGTTCAAAATAAAAACCGATAACAATGTCTTTCCATTGAATGTTAACTTTAAACACAGTTGTTTTGAGCATATTTTATTGACTAAATCAAAAGGATTGGAAACAAGTTCTTACAACTTACTAGTTCCTCTCCTTAAATATATTACTACATGTCATGCAATTGAAATAGTACACAGAAATATAGATTTAAAAAGTGATACAAATGAAATATCTGTTCAATAACATAGCAAATTTAAAATCTACAGGTTTCATCAATAAATTTATGCACAGCAGCAAAAATATTTGTATTGGTTTGTAAAGGCAAATTTACATCACCCCATAATAACAAATTTGTGTCAATAGTGACCAATTCGTCAAGAAAAAATAGGCGGTTAAAAAGATTATTCCTAGCGTTTGGGTAATTTTTACAGGCAAAAAAGAAATGATAAACATCTTCATACTTTCCACATGAACATAAAGGACTATTAATAATATTTCGTTTGTGTAGATCATAGTTAAGTATACAATTATGTCTAAGTTTAGTATGGATTATATTTGTATTACGTTTGCCAAATGAAAAATAGATTGGGGGATTTTTTAGTTCTGTAGTTAAGTTTTTACGAAATGCATTGAGTGAGATGGCTTCTCTTGTTTCTATCTTTAATAAATTCCACTGTTTCACAGCATCGGGTATAAAAGACCTTTTGTATAATTCTAATCTGCATCTTGGAGCAGTGAATTGTTCTTTATTACGGGTATTATATTTTGATATTTTTTCACGCTTGTGTGGAACAATATCATTCAAGTATTCAGGTACACAACCATTATGAATTTTGTACATAGTCGTCATTTTTGCGACATAGCGCCTAAATTTCAACGTTTCCCAGCCAGTTTCAGAGTAAAGTATTTCTCTTGACACAAAAATTGGAAGTCCTGTAACAATCCTAGCTGCAGATAGTTGAACTCTTTCAAGCTTTTCGGCATCAAGGTTAGAGCAGCCATCCCAAACAATAGAAGCGTATTCGAGCGAGGGTCTGATAAATGTGACGTATAATTTTGAAAGGTGTGTCCTACCAATTTTAAACTTAAGTTTTTTTAAAAGCCCAAGTTTTTTAAAAAGCATTGTTTACAGTGCTATCAATGTATTCTGACCAGCTAAGGTTTTGTGACAACAATAGACCTAAGTGACGATGAACTGGGACACACTCCAGTCTGTCGCCTTTAAAAAATAATTTAGGTATAACAGAAAGATTTTTCTTGTTGAAAAAAATAACTTTTGTTTTGGAAGGGTTGAATTTTAGAAGCCACTGATTTGACCAAAGTTCCAGAATATGTAAATCGTGATTTAAATTATATTCAATATCAAGTATATTGTATGAAGATTTTTGAAGCGAATTATCATCAGCAAAAAGTCTACACATTGATAACATATTTACAGCAACATCATTTACATATATCAAAAATAAAAGTGGACCTAAAACAGAACCTTGGGGTACACCTGCAAAAATATCTAGTTTTGATGATAACAGATCCTTATACATTACTTTTTGTGACCTTTTATACAAATAACTAGAAAACCACTGAAGAAGATCACCTGATATACCGTAAGTTTGTAATTTAAAAAGAAGCCCCTTGTGCCATACTCTGTCAAAAGCTTTTGAAAGATCGCAGAAAACCATACAACATGATTTACCTTCATCAATATTTTGAACAATACTATGATATGTTTCTAGTAATTGATACACAGTGGAATGACCTGGTAAAAATCCTGCCTGATATCGATAAAACAAATTATTACAATGAAAATAATTGTACATATGTTTGAAAATAATTCTCTCCATAATTTTGCTAACACAAGAGAGTAACGACACAGGTCTATAATTAGAAACTAAAGAGGGATCATCTTTTTTAAACAGGGGAATAACATGAGCGATTTTCCAAAAAGCTGGAAACGTTTTTTCTGATAAAGACCTGTTAAACAACAATGTAAGTGGTTTAGCAACTGTATAAAGAGTAGATTTTAACATTTTGTGACTAATACAGTCAGGACCTATGGCTTTGTTCACGGGAAGAATTGATATAATATCTATTACTTCTTGTTCCTCAATGACAATATTACAGAGTGTGTCACTACACAAATTGTACATGTTTGGCAATGTTTCATCTGAATCGTCAATTGTCGAAATTGAAGAAAAATACGAATTTATCGCTTCAATCTTATCGATATCTGAATAAGCAAAATGTTTTATACCGTTATCATTATTTATTTCTATTGGTGGGATTTCGTTGGACAATTTCACGTTGAATGCGTCTTTCATCAACTTCCAATATAGTTTATTATTATTTTTGCTTGAATCCTCTAAGAATGTATCTATATTGTCGTAGTAATTTGTTATCGCATATTTTTTCATATTATTTCCCGAATTTCGAACCGTTCTGTATGCGGCAAAATCAGAATCTTTTTTAGTTTTGTGTGCTTTCTTACGAAGTCGGTTCCTAGTTCTCATTGTTTTCCTTAGAAGTGAGTCAAACCATGGTTTGTCGCGAGGACGTATGGTTACCGTTTGTTCAGGTATACATTCACGAACACACGAAAGATATTCAGAAGTAAAGTTTTCTGATGCTATATCTACTGTATGAGCCTCGTTTATGTTCTTATTCCAATCACAGTTTTCAATTAAAGAATTTAGTTTTTCAAAGTCAGCCCTTTTATAAGCCCACACTTTTCTTTTGTAAGATCGATTATAATTTATGTTTGAAGAAAGCGATATATATGTAGCTCTGTGGTCACTTATGGAAGAGTCCATTACTAATGTACCCGATTCACGAACTTGAATGTCAACAGAAGTGAGAATTGGGTCAAGGAGCGTGCTCGACGTGTGCGTAATTCTTGTCGGTTCGATAATATTATTAACAAGGTTGTGTGTTGAAATAATTTCATGGATGATATGTGTTTGTGGAGTATTAAGAAGATCAACATTAATATCACCGACTAAAACTATTTTATCCGATTTTTCACTCATTTTGTCAATACACCATGAAAGTTTGGTCCAAAAACCACTATCAGAGTTCGGAGGACGATATACACAGCATAAAAAGATTTTAGAGGTATGGTTATCAATTTCGATACATATACATTCAATGTTAGAGGGTTCAAAATCATGGCGTCTAATAACACGTATTTGGTTAGAGAAATAAATCATGACACCTCCCCCGAAACATTTCCTATCTTTTCTTATTATATTACAAAATCCATCCAAATATAAGTCTTCATTATTTACGGTATTGTCAAGATGGGTTTCTGTAAAACATAGAAGATCGAAGTCGTGAACGAAAGAGTTTAAATGACCTAGT